AAACTGGCTGCTGAAAAGATTAGCAAGAAAAAAATCTAATATTTCAGAAGAAGACAACAGAACCTAGCCTGAGGACTGGCCTAAGGACATCACAAGAACCAACAAGACTCAAGCCTCTGCAGCTCCAGAGTTGCACAGGTAAAAGACTTTGCTTTGAGAAGTGAGCCCCAGAGCACCATGTTCCAGAACAGTGACAGCCTAGGGAAGCCGTTCCTTGGGATTTGTTCATAGACACTCATTCCCTTCAGCCTATAGAAAATGAAGCCTGGTTACTGCTCCAGCTGGCAGCAGACCTTGGCATCATCTATAGGGTGCTGGTTTTAGGTACACACAGAATGCAAGAGTTGCTGGGTCAGGAAGGATTCCATCCAGATCTGAAAAGAGACCTGAGAAACCAGGCAGTGCCTCCCTAAGCTGGCAGTGTCTGACACAGTGTGAAGCCGAAGGTACAGTGGAGACCCCAGAAGTGTGGAGAAGCCAACAACAAAGATCATCTGAGGAAAACTGCAAAGAGGGAGCAGAGTCGGCCTTAGAGAGAAGCCATGGGAGCTACAACCACCGGAAGTGCCATAAAGGCAGAGCCACCCAAACACTTCTGAGTTCACAGCTTGCATAGATTGCCGGGGATGCTGAAAGTGGAACTCTGGGATTTAACATTTTCCCTGCTGGATTTTGGTTTTGCTTTCCTCCCACTGCTTATTATCCTTGTTTACAATTTTTGCAATGGAACTATCTATCTTGTATCATTGTATGTTGGAAGTGTTTAACTTTCTTTTCATTTGTACAGGGGCTTGCAGCTAAGAGTTTGCCTTAGATCTCAGAGAAGACTTGGGACTCGGACTGTTCAGCAATGCTGAAAACTATTAGGACTTGGGCAACTCTTGGAGGTAGACTAAATACCTTTTGCATAAAGGGATGTACATGAGTCTTTTGGGGGCCAGGGGAGGAATATTATGGCTTGTGTCTAGATGCCCTCAAAAGCTTCAGGCCGTCATAGGTGGGGCTTTTTCAGATGTAGTTGACACTGGGAGTGCCACCGTGTGACACTGGGATTGATTCATGGTGCAATGCTAGGATCAAGGGTACTAGTGTTACAGTGTTACAGTGAGTGTTACCTGCCCTATGTATCCTGGATGAGATATAAGGGACAGAAAGAGCTGTGGTCGCCCTTTGCTTGCTTTGCTGCCTTTTGCCTGCAGTGAACTGTTTCTCTTCTGTGATGCCTGTCTGCCATGCCAGATGATTATGGACTGAAACATCTTCACACTAAGCCAAACAAACCTCTCCTCTAAAAAAATTTTTTTAATATTTTTTCTTTAATTTTTGGTACCAGGAATTGAACTTAGTAGCTTGCTCTTGCCAGGCAGGTGCTTATGCCGCTGAGCTTCCTCCACAGTCCAAACCTCTCCTCCTTTAACTTTGGTGTCAGGTAATTTGTCTCAGCAACAAGTAAAGTAATTGAGACTGCCTAGCATGAGAGTGCCACTCTTATCACCACATCTAAACCCATGACCCCAGTAAGCCACAGCCAGATACCCCTGATCTGCGGGCCACAACTTCAGAATATGAATTTGGGCAGGGACATGATTAACCACATCAGACGACAATTCAGCAGGGTCTAACAGAACACACCTTTTTTCCTCTCACGTTTAGGAGAGGAGATTGAAAGAGAAGGGAAGCAAAAAGATTCTTTAATTGGTATAGGATGCAAAGGGAACACAGAAAGGTTTCTTCTAGGGACTCTGGATCATTTTATTAAGTTTAAGATGCTGCCATATCATACGTTAAATTATTTGAAGCCAAAGAAAAAGTAAATAGAACTTTTATAAGAGACATCGTTGGTACACGGATCATGGTGCACACCTGTAATCTCAGAACTCAAGAGGATGAGGCAGGAACATCACTGCCTGAGGCCAGCTTGGGTTACAGTGAGCTCAAGATCAGCCTAAACTACACAGTGAGACCCTGTCTCAGAAAACCAAACACATACATACACACACACACACACACACACACACAAACCAAAACCAAATCCAAAACCAAAACCAAAACCCAAACCCACATTCAAACTCAAATCCACACCCAACAAAACAGGCCAGGCATGATGGCACATGCCTGTAAACCCATCATTCAGGAAACTAAGGCAGGAGGATCATTAGGAGTCCAAGGTCAGCCTGTGCTATGGTGAGACCTTGCCTTAAAAAAACCTCCAAAAACAAAACCAAAACAAGCAAACCAAAAAACCAGGGGGTAGGGGCGATTATCAGAAAGATTCAGGATTCTGAGGAAAACTCTGAAGCACTTTTAGGAAACCTTAGATCCAGGCTCCACTCCTTGAAGTAAAGGACTGACAGTTGGAGCTGGGGCTTGGGGTTGGACCAGGGAAGAGCGAGCATGAAATAGAATTTGAGAGAATTAGAGAGAATTAACTGTCTTTCAGGCATGCTTTCTATTTCTAGACTGAAATGTTGAATAGCTTAAAAATTCTCAGCACAGCCAGATGTGCCTGGCCTGAGCTCCAAACACACAGTACAGTCGCAGTGACCAGAAGACGAGAAGGTCGTGCCAGCCTTCTGACCTACAGGGCCTTTCCAGCGTGAGGGCCTGGTGGTGGTTTCCAGAATGACTGTGTGTGTGCTGCTGGATTGAAGATGCTGGCCATTATCCCATGACTAAGTGGGGGAGGTGTCCTCGCCTCAGGAGCCTGGACAGCAGAGGCCCAATGAAGGGGCTGGCATGGCCCATGCAGAGGAACTCGGCAGGCTATCTAGAGCTGCAGGGCTGGGAAAATGGTAGGAACTGTATCCAGAGGGTGGAGAGAGAAGGCAGCTATTCAGGGCTTTAACAGGAGACAGAATGCTCCAGCAAGGGAAACAAAACCAGTTAAACCAGGCCGGGTGGTGCATGCCAGTAATCCCAGCACTCCAGGAAAGCTGAGGCAGGAGGATTGTTTGTTTGTTTTGTCTTTTTGAGACAGGGTCTCCCACTATGCAGTTCAGGCTAGCCTTGAGCTCACTTTGTTGTCGAGGCTGGTCTCAAACTTGCAACAATTCTCCTGCCTCAGCCTCCTGACTGCTGGCATTACAGGCTGAGCCACTACCCCCAGCAGAGGCAGGTGGATTGTTACAAATTAGAAGCTACATATCATATGGAGACTATGTCTCAAAAAAACAAGCCACAAACAAACAAACAAAAATAGGTTACCCAAGGACCTGGGAAAAGGAAGGAATTAAAAAAAAAAGATCACCTCAGGAAATTAAGGGAAAGAAGAAACAAAAAGAAAACAAATCCACAGGGAAATGAACAAGAACCAGAGAACCCAAAAAGCAGCTGTTATCAAAAAAAGATGGCCCAGTTTTAAAAACTTGTTGCCTTATCCAGTGGTCAGCACAGGGCTGGCATAGAACAGGTACATACCACATACCTGCACAGTAACAAACGCCACTTAATCCCCACAGCAAACTAGGACTGAGGAGGGCAGAAGCCAAGATCAATACGGTAAAGTCCATACCAAAGAGACAGTAAAGTCCATACCAAAAAAATCTAAAACCCAGAAAGTGGGTGAGATGGATGACGAGCTACAGTTTAAAACAGGGATCCGGATCTGTGAAGCCCGGGATAGCATTCGAATAGTCTGCTTATATTTTCCTGGAGAAAGGGTTGGAGGTCTTGAGGAAAAGGCTCCTGGGCCTAATACCTATGTTGAGAAAGGATTAGCAGGAGTTCTCAGTCAGTTTAAGAGAGAAAAAGGTGAAGGACATCGTGTTGAGCTTTGTATGCAGGTTACAAGATTGGTCCATTTACACCCTAGCTCCACTGCTATCTTTTGAACATTTGTACCATCTGTCTGGTGACACAACCAATGCCTCCGGAGATGCAGCCCGACGTTTATTTTCTTTCCACTTTACTTCTCCACCTTCTCAAAGCAACCTTTATATACATCCTCTCCTTCCCACTCCTGACTCTGCCTAGCAAAGCTGTGAAGACATCAGAGGCATTTAAAGTCCACGGCTTAGCTTTCCCCTTAACCAATGTCAACAACACATGATCTGGGCCACATTCACTTTGGGACCCCATAGCCTGGACAAAACGTGCTCTTTCGGAGGAGTTATCAGTCCAGCAGAAAGAGCTCAGGGCAGGAATCAATCAGGAAGTTCCCAAGTGCAACTCTGCCAGGGCCAGGCGAGTCCACTGCGGCGCCGCTTCCTGGTCACCGGGCCGCAGCCGACTGGAACGCGTTGCTACTTTCCTGTCATTATGGGGCCAGCACGGATTGCCACTTATTCCTTAATCACCCTCCGCCACCCGAGGCAGAGCACTGCAAACCCACCAGTGTGATGCCTGAGCCCGCTCTCTTAGAAGTTAAAACTTAGGGGGCTGGGGATTTAGCTCAGCGGCATAAGCACCTGCCTTGCAAGCAGGCGGTCGTGAGTTCGATCTCCGGTACCGATAAAAAGAGAAAAAGTAAAAAAAATAAAATAAAATAAAAAATTAAAAAAAATAAAAAAAAAAAAAGAAGTTAAAACTTAGTGCAACGACAAAACCCACATCCAAAACAAAGCCTCCCAGAGAGACCACGTGAGCGAAGCAGGATCTGGAGGTGGAAGGGAACACTAAATTAAAAATTTAAAGTTTTTTTTAATGGTTCAGCGTTCGTTCGATTAATCAAATCAAAGCTCAGACCGGAGCCCTCGCTCACCTAGGACCTTGTGTACTTTCTCCGCCTCGGGGAAAGAGGTTAGCAGGGATCAATTAGGCTGACAATAGCCCCCCCCCCCTCCGCCCCAGGGGTCAAGTTTTAAAAGGCCAGCGCAGGACAAACTGCAGGGAGCCCAAGGTCACAGGACGTCCTGGAAACGGGGTGGGTGGGGCGGGGTGGGGGCTGGGGACGGAGTGGGGAGCGCGGCCGGGAAAGGGGGAGGGGCAAGGGAAGGGAGGGGTCAGGTGCCCGCGCGCCCCGCCCCCCGGAGTCCCCCTCCCCCCGGGTCCGCCGCCCCTACCAGCCGCAGCAGGCAGCCCCGGAGCAGGCAGCCCCACAGCAGCACGGCCGCGGGCCCGGGCGGCCTCCGCTGCGCCCCCATGGGCCGTGGGTCTGTGGGCGCGGGGCGCGGGGCTCGGCTCGGTGCTCACGCGGTGCTGGCTGCCGGCGCTGCTCGGTGCCGGCGCGCGGCCCCACTTCCTCTTCCGGCCCCGCCCCGAGGCGCGGGAAACCCCGCGCGGGCGGGCCGCCGCGGCCGTGCCCGGCTTTCGGGAAAGGGACGGGACGGCGACGGCGTGCGGACCCCTCGCGGTGGGCGCCCCCCGAGGCCGAGAGTCGGGGCGCGGCTGCCCCTGCGTGGGGCTCTGGGCCCTGGGGCCGCGGGACTGGGCTTAATCCCCGCGTGGCCCGGTGCATTGCCTCGAATTCTCTTGCTCATCCGTCTGTCTGTTTATGTATCGCTGTTTATTGATTTGTCATAGGGTCTCGCTGGGCGGTCCAGGCTGGCCCTGAAGTCCCCGCGATCCTCCTGCCTCAGCCTCTTACCACTACGGTGCCTCCTGCTTGCTAGGCCAGGACGTTTGGCTGTCTGCCGCTGGGTCCCTGGCACCGGCCACACTGCCCATATCTGGTCCTCCCATGCTAGTGACAGGACAGTGTCCTCGCCACCCCACCACTCCCAGGGCCAGACACGCAGTCCAGGTGGAGTGGCGGCTCCAGGAAGCCATGGAAGGCCGAAGGCAGAAGGCCTGGGCGGGCGTCTGGAAGTTAATTTTAGCAGAGGTCAGAAGAGGACGCCTGTTCCAGGACAGCCAATCTGCATGTCAGAGCCAGGGCTGGCCCTGGAAAAGCCACCAAACTTGCGCTTGGCTGAAGCTCCCGGTGGTGAAGTGAGAGGAGAGGCCAGAGTCCACAATCTGGATGGGCTGGAGCTGCTTGCACTGTGGGCTTCGATCCTCCTGTGCCAGTGGCTAGACAAATGAGTGCTAAACAGCGCTGAGAGGAAAGGCTGCTGTTCCAGAAGTTCAGTGCTTTCTGGATGGATTCAAATCGGGCAGGAAGGGGAGGCCGGGGAGCTGGCAGACAATGGGAACCTTCCCCAGGCAGGGACTGGCTGACAAGAGGCCAGGTCTGCAGGGACTGTGGCAGGAGAAGGATGCGATTCCCAGGAGCCTTCCCAGGCCACCTCTGGAGATGGACACACTTGCTGGCCGGGAGAGGGGCCCAAGGCGGGGGATGGGGAATCGCCTGAACTCCTCTGGGACTTGAGTCTGAAACACCAGTGGGACGTGAAGTGCAAGTGTGTGGGGTGGCAACCAAGCGTAGATGTCTGATGCTTTGCATCCTGGAACTCTGGCGTCCAGAGATGGATCTTGGGCTCTACACACTCTGGCCTCCTGGGGAACCGCACAGGCCCCTGTGTAAGTCCACCTGCCAGGACTAGAGGACTTCACCTCCTGCGGAGAGTCTGCCTCCATAGAGGGTGCAGGGATGCCTGGGGACCTGGCCTCTCCCTGCCTGCGTTTACCCTGTCTTTTGCAGAAGCCGAGTGCCTTTCTGTCGTGGGCGCTTCCTGGTGCGGCAGCTGTGCGTGGGCTTTTCAGCTGAAAAATGTGGACAACATTCTTGCTGTGCCTGCCTCACGTGATCCTTGTAAAATGTCATGCTCCTTGTAAAAATGCCAAGTGTAAAATCACTCTGCAAACTAAATCAAACAAGGAGGGGGACAGAAAGGAGAGAAGAAAGGGAAGATGCTGTCTGTCCTCACTGTCTGCTGGGAAGCTTTCTCCTGGTCAGAGTCCCTGTGCAGGTGACTGAAAAGTTACAGGATTCTCACCTCATGACTTTCTTGTAATCCACAAATGAGCCCCCAAACTCGAGTTTAAAAAATGAGGCAAAAACATTTTAAAGCGCTGATTTATCTTGGCCCCGACACAGTGCAGTTGGAGATTGCAAAAGCTGTGTGTGTCCCGCCCCCCATACTTGCAGTCTTTATATACATATCACTGTTTACAGAGTAAGGGGTTGGGCATGGATCAGGAGATAGGCCAATGGGGAAGATCCTGTTTTCCTCAGCAGAGAACAGAGGAGTCTAGCAGCAATTAACAACCTTTTGTTACCTTATTTTAGCATCACATCTGTTATTTGTAAAGGGCAGCAATGATTAACATATCAAGTTAGGTCACCCAGAGGGAGAAGGGAACAGAACAGTTAGGGTCACATTACAGGTATTTTGGTTTAATACAAATATAATGAAGCTCTTTTTTCTAGTGTACAACAGACTTCTCAGAAGGCTGCCAGAAGTTAAGTCAGAGTGTGCATCTGCATACTCTGCAGGGATCAGACAGGCTGAAGGGAACCTCACTTCCTTTCAGAAAGTCAGAGAGTCCTTTTCTTTTCTGCAGAACCTATACGAAAAACCCAGTTGTAGAAATTCATATTAGACTGCACATCTATTTGATCTGTAAATATATTTAGTTAATACAATTTCTCTTTCCAATGATGCAATAAAAAAAAAGGGTCTCAAAAAAAAAAAAAAAACAAAAAAAAAACGGTTTTATTGCCAGACATTCTTTTCAGGCAGGATCTCACTGTGATGCCCAGGCTGGCCTTAAACTCCTGGCAATCCTCCTGCCTCAGCCTTCCACGAATCCCCCTCGAAATCTTCTCGGCTCCTTGAACACACTTGTCCCATGTTCTGGCCACTCTGTAGCAGCTCTGAGCATTCTCTTTTCTGAGTCTTTACAAAGTGTGATCAAAGATACAGTGAGTGCTGCTGCTGAGAGCCATCCAAGAGAAAGGCAGCTCCTGAAAACATGACACTGTGTCCTCATCAGCCTTATTCACCAGATCTGGCACTGTATGACTTCAGCTCTTCCCTAAAGTCAGAATGACCATGAAAGGTCAACATTGTGAATTCACTCAGGACATCGAGGCAGCCACTGTAAACTTGTGTGTCCTTCCTACTTTTGATCAATTATTGTATCAGCCGCTGTTTTGCACCATGTCATGTGGAACTTCTGTGAGGTCTATTTTTTCCGTAATTGTACAAGTTTGTCTTTTTGCATCTGGCTTATTTCACTGAGTGTAATGTTCTCTGGTTCATCCACATTGTCATAAATGATGTGACTCCTCCTTTGTCAAGGCTGTGTAGTACTCCACTCTGTTCATTTGTTCAGAACACATTGGTTGCTTCCAAGTCTAACTGTGCTGAATAGCACCACAATGAATATACTGATTTCATTCCTGTGGATACAAAAGTGGGATGGCTGGGTGCCCCAGGTTTTCATTTAGTGATTGTGTCACTGGGCTTGGGTCCATGTGTCCCTGCTCAGAACCCAACTTCAAGGGGACAAGGTTCTCATTACTCTTTAGTGGAAATACTTCATGTTTCCAGCTCAATCCCAGTAATTATCTTATGCCCAGATGACACTGCTGCATGGAGCTTCCCAGTATTGTTTTCCTGCAGGGCCCCTTGGTTACACACCTTCCCCTGGGAACTGTTCACAAGGCTGTGTAGGTGAAGCTCAGGGAGGTAGGCCGCCCGCCATGGTCCTGTCACTGCTTCCTGTTGGCCTGCTCCCCTTCTTCATGCCTTGCTCAGCTGTCCTGAGCTCTGGCCAGCTTCAGCACAAAGCCATGCATGTTTAATGATGTCTCCAAAACATCACTGTCTTTTTAAAGCTGGTTAAATATTTTGCATGATCCAGTTGAATTCATCTGAACCAATTTCACGAAGGAAATTATTACTCCTATATTATAAATGGGAAAATAAGCATGTGAAATCTTCCCGCAAGGTTTGGAAGAGGAATTTATACACAAGCATGTGGATTGCCTTTTTATCATTTTGTGGATGCTCGGTGAATGTTTACTAAATGAAGACACTTTTGCCGATTATTAAGAAAACCATGGGCTGGGGATTTAGCTCAGCGGTATAAGCGCCTGCCTTGCAAGCAGGCAGTTGTGAGTTCAATCCCTGGTACCGATAAAAATGAAAAAGACAAAAAAAAAAAAGAAAAGAAAAGAAAAGAAAACCATGCTGTGATTTTTGGGGGGCTGGTTTTGTTTTCCTATTTCTTTTCTTGTCTTTTCTCAAGGCAGGGTCTCACTATGCAGTTCAGGCTGGCTTTGAACCCATCTCGGAGCCCAGGCTGGCCATGAACTCATGGCGATCCTCCTACCTCAGCCTCCTAAAGTGCTGGGATTACAGGTGTGCACCTCACGCCTGGCCGTGCTATGATTTGAGTATTTTGAGGTTTGACTAAATGACCTCTATCTTGGTTATTTTTCTCTCATTGCTGAGTCAACATGCCTGCCACTCAAAATGAGGGAAGAATTGGTTTGTTCAGCTCACTGTCTGTGGAGGTTTCAGTCCACAAGCAGCTGACTCCAAGGTAGGGTGGCAGTGTGGCACAGGGGCAACACTTCAAGGCAGCAGAAAGCAGCAAAACAGCAAGAGCAAAAAGGGGAGGAGCAAGCTGCTTCTCTTCCCTTATACTGTCACAGGCCACTCCCTCTCCAGGAAAGGTGTAGCACTCTCAGATCTCCCTGCCTTCCTCTTGCACAGGATGAGGATGTTTACAAATAAGGACCCTGGCTCCCTGCTGAGTTGCTTAAACTTCTAAACTTCTAGGTTGTCACAATGTATCAACATAACAACCTCTGATAGCTTCTAAAAGTTAAATTAGCTGGGTGTAATTCCATGCAAAATTCTTATGGATTATGTTTTTTTCCCCCTTCCCCTCCCTCAGTTGATTTTAGTTTGCTTTAAAAGTTTGAATTCTTAGGGGCTGGGGATTTAGCTCAGCGGCATAAGCGCCTGCCTTAAAAGCAGGCAGTTGTGAGTTCGATCTCCAGAACCGGTAAAAACGAAAAAAACAAACAAACAAAAAAGTTCAAATCTCCTCATTGATAACAAGACAAAAGAAATTTAATTTGCGTATTCAATTTTAGGTGATTTTAGTCATAAAGATTGTTAAATGTGTATATGCAGATACATTTAAATTACGAACTTTCTAGGCCACTTTTTTTTTCTATTACTAGGGATTGAACCCTGGAATCCTCCACCAATGAGGTGCATCCCCGACTCTTCTAATTTATTTTGACACAGGGGCTCAGTAAATTGTCCAGGCTGGCCTTGAGCTTGTAATCCTCCTGCCTCAGCCTCCGGAGTGGTTAGGATTGCAGACCTGAGCCACTGTG